GCCTCAGGAGCAGCGGGGTCTCCTCTGGGTCCTCGGGCGTCATATCGGCGGCCAACGATCACCTGGCCGACTGGCCCGCTTGAGTCGCCGCGGCTGCCGCGACTGCCTCCCAGGGCTTCTTCTGGAGAGCCAGCCAATGGGCGATGGGGGCGGTGCTGGGGTGGGATCGGAACCGCCTCGAGTGCATGAGCAGCCAATGGGAACACAAAGGAGGGTTAGCTTGCAGGGATAGGAGACGCCCCATCCAAATGAAAGTAGACCAATGGAAGCGCAACGCCGGTTGGCACGCGCACTTGGAACCGCCCCTAGGGCAGAAGCTGTGCCCAGGAGGGGCGGAGCTTATGTCCGGCCTGGCCGTCCAATTGGAGTGCGGTGCGAATCCGGAGGCGGGCCAGAACGCTGTCTCGGAAGTGAGCGGGCCAAGGAGCGTGGAGGGTAGGGATTACTTTTTTCTCCGAAGCCCTGCCTCTTATTCTAGCCCCAGCCAATGAGGGCAGGAGTGGAAAGAAGGCGGAGCACTTGGGCCCCGCCCAGTCGCCTCGAGGCGCGCTTGCAGTCTTTACTGGTGATGAACTTTGGTCTGGGTCTGGGTTTGGAAGCACCTGACCCAGCTCTACGCGCTGAGAGGTGCAGGGCGGAAGGTCTCCCAGCATACTGGCCTGGGCCACCTTCCTTGTCTTCTCGGATGCCGAGACAAGCCCGGAGCTTCCGCTGGAGCGCTCGGGCGAGACGCAGCCCTAACCCTACCCGCCGCTCCCACCTGTTCTAACCGGCTAACGGCTGCCAGGCGCGGACCACTGGAGCCTCCTGTGCTGAGGACCAGCGTTGGGGGGGACCCCCATTCCGCTGTGCCGTAGTTCTAACAAGGGGCCTATCCTTATCTTCAGGAGAGTTGTGAGCTAAAAGAAATACCACGCGTTCAAATGCGTATAGCAACTTGATTCACTGCAGTTACCTGGCTGTACTAGCCTCCAGCATTTTTTTTATCTTGACCACAACATTATCTTTAGAGACTTAGGCAACTGTTCTGTCCTTATATAGCCACTCGCGCTTGCTGTACATTCTTGCCCACAAGCGAGCTCCTTCCTGCGAGGCCCTTGGCGTTACCCCCTGGGTCAAAGCCCCGGGCAAACTCCGCACCTGAACCATTCACCGTAGCAGCCAGCTGGGCACAGATGCTGCAGTGAACCTGGCTAGTGCCAACTTCTGAGCCACGGACCCCTGCAAACCTGTTTATGCCCCCTGGCTAGTGTTCTCTCCCCAGGAACGTGCCCATATTGTGGCCAGAACAGCCTCTCAGCCCCCTTTTATAAGAAGAGCACCATCATCCTGATGAGTAGGGGCCACCTATTCCTTTCTTTTTTTTTGGTACCGGGGATCGAACTCGGGTCCTTGCACTTGCAGGGCAGGCCGCCGAACTGCTGAGCTAAATCCCCCGCCCAAGTAGGGGCCACCTATTCCTAAGATCTGACTCTTGCCCAATCATAGGTGGCTTTAATGCTGCCCGTTTGGAAGAGTGCTCCAAATAGCCTTTAGTTTTTCTACTTCAGCAAGAAACTTTTTTTTTTTTTTTTAAAGAATGGAAGTGAAAACACAGAAGCTGTTTGTGGTGGCCCATGCCTATAATCCTAGAACTCTGGGAAGCTGAGGCAGGAGGATCATAAGTTCCAGCCCAGCTTGGGCAACATCACTTAGACTGTCAAAATGAGAGAGAGAACAGAGACAGAGACAGAGACACGCAAGTGTGGATATAGGTGAATGTGAAGGCCCTAGGTTCAACCCTCCAGAACTGGAGAAGAAAAGGAAGAATAAACCTAACCCACAAAACTGTTGGTGGGACTGAGATGTAGTGTATAGTTGACTCTGTATCTGCCATATGTGCAAAGGGCACAAGACCCCAGGAATGAGATGTTAAATGCCGCAAAGAATGGGAAGTCATACCGAGTTAACCGACAGCCCACCTGGTGCACCTAACGACCTGTCCTTGCTGTGCTTCTCTTATGCCACACAGGGCCCTGTGGCTGGGCCTGGCCGTGCTGAGCTGTCTGTAGCAGGCCGAGAGGGAAGCCTCGCTGATAGGTATGCTAGGGAGGAAGACCCGAGGGTCCTGTCCTATGCGCTGACGGGGAAGGCTTGCCACCCTTCTGAGCTGCCGTCACAGGGGACAAACTGGTGAAGTAAAGAAAAAGGAATCAGGTGCCCAAGGCCAAAGGTAAATTACCTTCCCTCCCCCTAAATTACAATTTTTGCAAATAATGTCAGTGAAACTGGATTCTCCCCTTTGATCGCTTCTGGCCGGAGGCTGAGGTTTTATTGTTTCCTTTGCTCTTCTTCCTGCTCACTTTGGGGAGGAGCAGGGGAAGGCAGGTGCCTGGTGAGAGGGAGGGTGGACTGTTGGGTTCCGGTGAACACTGGTGCAGAAAGAAAACTTATTTATAATAAAAAGCAGTGGCTTTTCTTTATAAAAGAAACATAATGTGTAACATAAACCTGTAATGGAAAAATAATTTCAGGTATATAAAGTGTAAGAGAAAGTTGTAGTAAATAAGAATGAACATTTTTGATTTATTCAAAGTTTCAATCTAAAACCTTAATGAAATCTACCACCTTTATTACAAGGGGACTGATGGTTCGTGAATGGAAAGAAACAAAGGTCAAGGAGGATGGCACTGGACACTGGAGAGAGACCCAAACTGGCCGAGGGTGCAGAGGTTTGGTCCAGTAGATTGCTGACAGGCGGTAAGCCGTATGTTGTTGATAATGACGTGAGAACTGTGTAAAGGGCGTAAACCTCCGTACGAAAACTACAGACAGCAAACGAGACTTGGACTCTGTTTACTTCAAGTCAATGACATCTTCATTCGAGGAAGCTATCAGCTGAAAGAGGCTGCTGCCGGAGGCTGAGACTGGGCTGCCCTCTCTGTCCACCGCAGGGTTCTGGTCGGAGCTGGTCAAGTGGCAACAGCCCTCAGGGCTGGCCTCGGTAGCAGGAGGACTTTCCAAGGAGCCTGATGGGATCCTGGGAGGGAAAAGTCACAGTCAGGGCCTCTTCTGATTGCTAACACTCACTGGCTCACAGCAGTCTCCTGGTTGCTACCTGCAGTGTGGGCAGCAGGCACAGGGCTCCTACACCTCCTTTGGCTACAGTCAGACAGCCCTAGCTCATGGGCTTTTGGGAGGAGCTAAGGCCTCACCCTCCTGAAGTGTAAATGTACCGGAACCCTCACAGGGCCTGAAGGGAAGGCTAGTGCTCCTGAAACAGCCGAGGCTCGGGTCTGGCTCTGGCTGTCCCTCCAGCCTCCCAGGCCACTTTGTTCCCTCCACTTCCTCTAGCTCCTCGGACTCTCTTTGGATAGCTGTTTAATTAACTGGACCAAAACTGGTCTCACTTCTCAGGGTGTTCATGATTTGACAAAGCCCACTTGGCCCTGCTCTCACACTGTCCTCGGAGCGATTCTCTGTGCTCAGCTGTCCACTTGTCCTCTGTTGCTTCTCTGGCCACCACTGTGAGAGCCCCAGGGGTCACAGGAGCCATTTCCCTAGCTTGTTTCGCTCCACGGCCAGCACCAAGCCACCTCCTTCCAAATCCTTCCCTGACCCCTGGCGAAGCAGACCTTCTGCCTGCCGCCAATCACTTCTGAGGTTTCTTCCTGGCAATGGCTTGTGCATCTGTTACAGGTTTACTATCTGCTTTCTCCACGCTAGAATATAAAGCCCCAAGAGCAGGGGCCGGGACCCCGTGCTGGAGTAAAGCAGGAGTGAGTCCAGGCTCACTGTCACCGGGAGTGGCTTACCCAGCCTGACGGTCCCAGTCTTGCCCTGCCCAGGTGTGGGGTACAAAGCATGCTCTGATCAGCATCATCACTTGGCATGATGCCTGCCTGGGCTCCTGGGGGCCTTGCTCACTGGCCTGAGTGCCCCCAAAGGCATCTCCGAATCCTAATACCCTGCGCTCAGC